TTGAAGTCAGAATGACTCCTTCCACAGACATATTCTGTGTCTGAGATAAGTAGTTCACTTATGGTTTGGTACTTGTATTCCTATAGGGCCTATATCCTATAGATGTATGCAAAGAGTCTCTCAGTAACAAAGCTAGATGATGCTGGGTCACCCTGTCTCAAAAAACATTTGATCTCTCTTGCCTTGAAAGCTTCTTTGTATGGCAACAAAAACAGAATTTGGCCTAACAGTGTATCAGTACAAAAACAATTATTTTAATGGTTTTGAATAGTCTTTTTTATTCTTTGCGGAACGTATAAAGAGTGTAAAATATTAACCCCAATAGAGTAAATATTATTTTTATTTATTTAAAATAATTTTTATCCTATCTTTCAGCAGATACTTTCAATGTCACTATTTATTAGATTTATATTCTATCAGCACCTCCAGGAAAATATAAATAAATTTTTGAAAATGCTCTTGAACCTCATCTTTTATTCCTATCCTTCAGACAAGAGAAAAAATGTGTCAATCTTAAACTGCTGCCCTCACAGCCTTCTTTCGGCTTTTCAAGATTCTGTTATTATATCCTGCATTAGTAGAGTTCCAGTAGTTGGCATGGAGTCTGTTTCCTGACCTGGCCTTCTTAAAAGGGTTAAGGTAAATCTTGACAGCCTGATCTCCCCTGCCCCCTCTTATACCAAGAGAATCAAGGTGAGGCAATCTTGAGCTTCTTTCTCACTCACTCCTCCTTCCAGGGCTAAATTGGTGTTTATTTAACGGCTGTTGAATTCCTTCTTCGAAGGTACAGAAAGGAGGTGTATGATAGTGGAGGGAGGTAGAAATTGGAGATGGCAAAAGAGAGAGAGAGAGAGAAGTGCCACCCATCAACACTTCAGGGTAGGCCAGGTCAGGAAACAGAGACTGCAAAGACTACAGGAATGTACTTTATTGTTGCAAAGCCAGTCAGTTTCCATCTACCCCTTCTTATAACAAATAGAATCAAGGCAGGGCTATTTTAAGTCTGTTTCTCATGCCTCCTCCTTCCCAAGAGTGAGTTATCATTTAGTTTCTCTTAATGGCTCTTCTAATGGCTGTTATATCTTTTTCAGAGCTATTTGACAGGCAGAAAGAAGGAGAGAGCCAAACAAACATCTGAAAATGAGGCAAAGAACACTTAGGGTCTTGTGTGGTATAGCTGGATCTATAAAGTATTGGCTCCACAATGAAAAGAGGGGAGGAGAAGGGATTATGGAGACTGGGAATGGGAAAATATGCAAGGTTGCCTTTTAAATTTGGAGCTGGTTCCGTCATTCTAACACTGCACTCTCCAGTGTAAATACTGACCTTGCTTACCACAGGGTTAATATTTCTATGACTAAAACAAACAAACAAAAAAGAAAATATTCACCAGGAAAGGATATGTTCCAATGGCCAAAGAAGAAATGGCTATGGAAACACAGTAAGATGGGAAGTGAAGGTCCTGTGGCAGGCCAACTGGAAGCCAATAGATCACCAAGCCTCCAAACTTTAATTTGACATAAAATGTTCATATAGGATTCATTGTTCCATTTGTAGAGGAGTACAGAAATAGCACTGAAAAAAAGTATGGGATAGCCATTACAAAAACATCAACTTAGTCATTATCTTAAGGGGATGAGGAAGAAATCAAGATTGGCCCACCTTGGCTCTCAGGTTTATGAGAGAGGGTAAGAAATTCTATAAAGCTTTCAAAGTTCTGTTATTATAGCCTATATCAATAGAGTTCCAGTATTTCCTTTGTTTCTATTTCTGGCCTGGACTACCTTGAAGGGCTAACACATTTTTCAGTGAAAAACATTGCTTTCCCACTAGTTCATGTTGATCTGACTTCAGTCTGCCTCAGCAACAGACTGGCCCCAAGATGGAGTCTTCATTGAGAGAATGTCCTTCTCAGATAATAAGCAGGCTGCCTCAGAACTGGAACAAGAAGGCCCTCAGAATGGGATTTTTCTGGAATAATCTAGTAATTTGGAGTGTTTGTATTACCTGCACTGTTGATATGATACTGTTTAAAAATGTGTACTTCCAACTTGTGAAATGCTTCACCTGTGTGTGGTATGATATTATCAACATTTCATGTGAATCATGGTATGTAAGACAGTGATTTATCAAAAGATAAGAATTATATACATATGAAACAGAGCCCATGAAAGTGCAATGCTTACCATAGTTAACTTAACCATGGCTTATTCAATTGTCCAATTTTTTGGCTCACATGACATGCCAAACCACAAATTAACCACACAGGCTAGGTTTGTACAACACTGTAGACTAAAATAAGTTGCCTAATATGTGACTTAATGTACTGTATGAAACCAAGCAAGAGTAAGCAAGAAAAAAACTATGAAGTTTGGATAACTGCTGTCATTGTGTTCTGTGAACAACTGTGATATGATGGAGGAAACAAACTAACATCAGTATGTAGATGGTTCATAAATTATTTCACAAGACTGATTACTGTCATGGTACACATGCCAGAATTTCTTATGGTAAGATGTAATTAACAAATTAAATTGGAGAATTTATGTGATGACTGGGATTTGAAACCACATGTAAAGATAAGTCATACTCTGCTGTGCTAACAATAAATGATGATGAGTACTCACCTTCCAAATACTATCACATAATTAACTACCACATATGGTCTACAAAGCAGCTATTATCATACTTTATACACTGGCTGAATGAATAAATTATTTGACTTCTATTGCCAATAGTTTTGCTCTCAACTTTTTTCCTACAGAATTTTGGTTATTTTTTTATTCAACAGATAAATTATTTATTTTTACAGCTCATTTATTACTAGTATTTTATAGCCACTTTCAAAAAACACATGACCAGTTTCTTGATTATCTATTTCTATTTTATCTTTTATATTGAGTCAGTTTGGTCTAGTGGCTAAGGCCCCAAGCTAGAATCCAGGAGATTGTGAGATCTAGTCCCGCCTTGGGCATGAAAGCCAGCTGAGTGACTTTGAGCCAGTCACTCTCTCTCAGCGCAACTTACCTCACAGGATTGTTGTTGTGGGGAGAATAGGAGGAGAAAGAAGGAGTATTAGGTGTGTTCACCGCTTTGAGTAATTTATGAAAATAATAAAGATGGGATAAAAAGATCTAAAAGTTTTTAGTCATAATTTGACAATTGGTGGCTCAAATCTATTGCTGGTATGCAACCTTCCAACCCAATGACCTTTATCTGTGTTGAATAATACCACAATATTCCAAAACTGACCGATATTCTAGCTGTTAACACTCAACACTTTGAGTGAGATGGGCAGCTATATAAATGTGACAAATAAATACATTTAGAAGGTACCAGACTGGGGGAAAATGTCTTACTGAACAATCACAATGAACACACTGAACAATGTGTGTATGGAGCTGATTTACCATGTTCTAGTCATACAGTTGGCTCATACAGTTGAAGTTTAAAATTAAGAATGATAAATACATATTTATCAACTTTGTGGACCCAAATCAAACCCTACAAAAACCTTAAGAGCAGCACTAAAGCAGCACAACTATAGAATTCTTTGGCAAGTGGATGTCACAGGGAGCTCTTAAAGAGTATCTGAAACACATCAGGTGTTATTCACTCATGCACACCCATAAACACACACACACACACATGCTTACTTACCCAACTCAAGGTATGGCTGGAGAGGCTACTTTTGAGTTTCAGAAGAATCAAGGTAGGAAGCCTATCTCATTCTGTGGAACAGCTCTCAAGAATTCCTGTCTCCATCCATGTTTATAACTTCCAACAAAGCCTGGTGAGTCCTAGCTCAGTATTCTTCTTATGTCCTCTGATACTTTTCTACTTGAGTGCCACTGCCTCATCTGTGTCACATGGGAAGCCTCTCATTTTTAGAACTATTTGTCTCTTGTTTTGAGAATCATCCCTTGTTGAGTTGTTTTTAGAGGCATCATCATTCTGTCATTTTTCCTTATGCTGCAATAAGGTGAAATTTATGAAGAGAAGCCCTTCTGTATCCATGGCCTCCTTTGTGTAGGTGATATGTATTCCATTCTTCATACTTCCCCATTGATACTGTCACATAAGTACATGGCACAACATACATAATATACTGGAATCAAACAACTACAAATCAATATATTATGCTGATAACAACGAAGATGACAGGAACAAAGAGTACAGGACAAAAAACTGAAATTCTCCCATAACTCTAGCTGATGACTATCTGCACACTGAAGCTCAGAAATAAAGTAGTTTATTCAGCATTTAATTACTGCATTGAAATATGGCCCCTTACCAAATTTTCCAGTACTTGTGGACTAACAGCCTGCTTATTGTGGCCACTAGAAGAATATTTCATGATTTCATGCAAACAAGGATTTTAATTCAATTTTAATTCAACTTCTGGCATCTGAAGGTAAGAGGATTTCCATGAAGCAAAAGTATGAAACATCTTTGCCTAAACTTTGGAAGACAACTGCCAATCAACACTCCAGATGTAACTGACTATAATTCCAATAATTTCCAGTCAAAATGCCAAAAGAAAGGTCAAATCCTCCATATCACATTGGTGTAGCCAGTGCTGAATTAGATGGGCTAATTTTTATGATGAGGAAGTACAACATTTGGGACTTTTAACTCTAGAAACAAGGCATATAAGGGAAGGTGATGGAGGCTTATAAATTTTAGGCATGGTATAAAATTTTTCTTCTTTCTCAGAGATGGAACCCAGCATCATCTAATAATGTTAAATGGTGGAAGAGTCAGGTGAAAGTGGAATACTTCTATATATAGTCAAAACTAAGTTTTTTGATTCTATAAAATATGGTGACAGCATTGAGCTGAGATCATTTTTAAAAGGATTAACAATTCCATGAGGTGAAGCAGCACTCTTCTAAAATATTGTGAAGACAGGGTGAGATGTTCTCTTATGCCCAACTAGGAACCTTCCCGGAAGAGCTGGCTGGCCACTTCACCAAAAAGGACCAGATAGGCTTTCTGTCTGATCCAACGGATTTAATATGTTTTTAGGAGGCAGAAAAGCTCTTATCATACAAGAGCCATCCATTGTGAATCCACTTCCATATTTTTTGAAAAGCCACGCATTTTCAGCTGATTAAAAGCATTTCCAAGTCAGCAAGAGCAAAGTTTCCAACTACCCCCCGCTACACTAGCTCTCTCTGCAAGGGCTGTTTCAGGTTGTACTTTAACAAAATGAGACGTTTGGGGCAGTCTGAAATGGCATGGGTCGTCCTGCTCCTCATCAGTCTTCCATCAGCTATAAAGCGAAATTACTCCTCCAGAATCGGTAACTATACAATTAATGAGCAAGTAAAAAATTCCAAAGGCACAACAGTAATAAACCACTACGAACCGCGTCACTTTAACTTCCTGCTTAATTTTTGCTCCTCCCTTTTTATTACACTCTCCCGCCTCTCTCCTTCCGCGTGTGAGCGCTCTGTGATTGGGTCCTATATAAGGCCTCTAGCATTCCCTGCCCAGTGAGAAAGTGTATGCGCGTTGCTACGGCCATCCTCCGAACCACAGTTGTTTATGCGCAATTGGAATGCCTGTATTCTATTTCCCGTCTGGCGTGACTGTGCGTTGCTCTGTTGCTTCCGGGTCAGCTGTTTCCCGGCATTTAGGGCCTCCGACGTCTAGGTTTTGAGAAGCCTCCCGAGAAAGACCGGGTCGGACCGATGTTGAGGCGTCGTTGCTGGTCGGGAGGTTGAGGGGCGGCCGGAGGGAGAAACTGCGGCCGCGGAGAGAAGGAAAGGGCCGAAGAGGACTGGGTGGCCAATGCTGGGCCGGCGTTCACCATGGAGAAGATCTTGGAGGGGTTGGTGAGCTCGTCCTACCCGTTGTCGGTGAAGCGTATGATCGTGAAGCGCGTGGTGGAGTCGGCAGAGTCGCCGCTGAACGGGCCGCAGTGCCAGGCCATGTTCGCACTGAGCACCCGCCTCATCCTGCAGGGCCCTGACCAGTTCCAGCGCCAGGTTGGGCGGCAAGTACTCGAGGCCTACGCTCGCCACCACCGCGACGACTTCGAGATCTTCTTCACGCGCGACCTGGTACTGGCCTTGCTTCACGGGGGAGGCCCAACGTCCCCGCCCATCACGGCTCCGTCGCCTGGTCCCGGCCTTGGGTCCAACTTGAACCCCAGCGTGTTAGACTATGTCCAGACCGGCTTGCGACTTCTCATTAGCTGCCCGGCGGTGCTGGAGCTCTTTGCGCTGCTCCAGAGGGAAGCGTTGCGTCTGGTGGGCGAGAGGCCCCCGGCTCCTCTGTGCGCTCGCCTCTGCCAACTTCTGAGCGATTTTCCTCAGTGCCTGCCCCGCGGTAGAAAACCTGCCCTCGCTTTTTGCCAGCAGTTGGTTCGCAGTATTGCTCACTTCCAGACGCAAGGCACCCGTGAAGCTGCCCTACGCCTCTATGTCTCTCAAGTCACCCAAGTCAGCAGTCTCCTGCGCAGCATCTGGAAAGCAGAACCTGATACGCTGCTGCCCTCCTTGCAGGAACTCTTTGCCATCATCTCTTCCACAGGTGAGCTAATGTTTTCCTTATATCAAAGTTTTCCTGTTGAATCTAATCCCATTGGGATTCTGTAAGTAAAAATAAGAAGCTGGGTGATATCAAATGGGAAAAGGCCTTCCAACCTGCTCCAGAAAGGCTATGAACAAGAGTGGTGTTGGTGAGTGGAAAGCTGGTTAAGGCTTCCACATCTAGGTTGCAAAAATCTGGATGGCAGCACAGAGATACAGAAAACTGAAATCCTTTGCTGCTATCTAGTGGTCTCTGGATTTTTGCAGCTTGGATATGTTATATCTATCTTTGGTTGCTTTTTTAACATTAGCTAAATATTGGGGAGCAGCACATTCTCTTTACTGCCAATATGGTTCTGATTTACACAGTATTTGTGTGATATCTGATTGGAGCAAAGTTCCTAATGTGTCAAATAGTGTAGGTAAAACAAATGATTAAATTATTTAGCATTTGCTTGATAAATAGAACGGGGAGCTAGATTTTAGAAGTCTTGGAAGGAAAAGTAGGAAGAACTGAGTGTAAATATTTTGGAAAGTATTAGATTAGCAAGCTATATATTTTCATTCCTACACGCCAAGTTTTACTTGATCTATAACTCGCTTTGATTTATAATTAAGGCACAGCTTGGAGATCAGCTGGATCTTACTTTGATGATCCAAATAGAAGCTACCTCATATTTTCATTATTTATTTTTTGGAACTTTTATGTCACTTAAGTTATTATGGTATTATTAATGATATTATAGTTAATATTAAATGTTATTGAGTGACTTCTTATGCTACCTATGTGGCATAGCTTGTAATGACTGCTGGCTTTAAATGCACTCTTTTTTTTTTTAATGTGAGATGTTTAACAGAAATAGAAAATTGTCTAGTTATTAATTGTACTACCATAGAACTAGTTTAGTTTAACTAACTAAATATATTTACAAATCTAGTTAGAGGATGGTTCTTACCACCGAGCTGTTTTGCACATGTTTTGGTGCTATCTGCATAGAGGCAATGTATATTTGGAACTGTAGCATTTGCTAAAAACGCTCTTTCTACATACGGTATAATGGATATTGAAGCTGGTTTCCTTTTTATAGTAGTATCACATTACAGTGTGGTACACTACTACTGTAAAGTATGAGTGTGAGACAAATAATATAAAGTTTAGATGAGAAAATGCTTCTATCAGATGAAATATTCAGAAATACATTGTGTTATACCCAGACTACCAGTGAGCTAAACTGTGGTCTAGGAAAGCTTCATTAGATGAAGGGAAAGAGCTGATTTCTCCAATATTCTTGTAGTTTTCTTTGCCTTTCTCCAGATGAAAGTAGGAAGCAATGCTCAAACAATACCTTATGTCTTTCCAGAAAGGAGCTTCCTCTGAATATCATTCCTGTGTTTGGGAGAGAGTCTGAGAGCTTTGAATTGGTTAAATAGATGCTTAAAACTTTAATAAATAGTTGTCATTGCATAATAACATAACCTTTTAAAGTTGATTCAAATCTTAATGGGGAAAAGCGGAAGGAAGGTATAATAATTTCCTGTATGCTTGGCAATTATAGATACTTCTGAACCTTCGGTTGCTTTGGCAAGTCTTGTGCAGCATATCCCTTTACAAATGATTACAGTCCTGATTGGAAGCCTTACCACAGATCCAAATGTAAAAGATGCAAGTATGACGCAAGCTTTATGCAGGTATAGTCTTCAGTCTGGCAAAAGAGTACTTGTTAACTTAGTTAAACATCATGTTTATTGTGTGCATTTTAAAGGGCAGATTATTTATTTATTATTTCAATTTATATGGCTGCTCATCTCAAGTTCATGATTCTGGGTGGCTAACAATATTGAAACAACAGCATAAAACATAAAAAACAGTTACTGACAACATACATATAACAGGAGCCGGGGTAAAAACAAACTCATCAATGACAAATCAACATAACCATTGTACGGGCTCAGCCACACCTCCTGACCCCCAGGCCCACTGCCAGGTCCATGTCTATAAGGGTTGTGAAAGGCTGAAAGGGTTGGGGCTGATCTAATCTCTGGGGGAATGATATTCCAAAGGCCAGGTGCCACAACAGAAAAAGCTCTCTTCTTGGCCCCACCAAATGACATTCTCTAATAAATGGGACCTGAAGCATGCCTCTTCTGGCAGACCTAATGGGACAGATAGACACAGTCAGGGAGAGGTGATCCTTCAAATAACTAGGCCCATGCCATTTAATATGCAGATTAAATCTGCATATGTCTGAACATAGTGTTGCTGTGTTGGAATTGGATTGTGAGACCTAGATTCAAGTTCTACTTGGCAACAGATCTCCTGGGAGACTGTAGACTAGTCCCTTTCTTAGCCCAACATACCTCACAATCTTGTTACTATGGGTAAAAAATTAGGAGAGGTCACCAGGCATGCTGCCCTCCTCCCAGAAAGGAGCCTATAAAACCCATTCAACAAATAAAGCAGTAGTTTTGTGAAGAAAACACTGTTTTAAGGTGTTTGCACTTGTTTTAGTATCTTGTTCGTAAGAAGAATGTCTTTTCTAAGCTTTAGCATGTTACTCAAGATTTTTGAAAGGATTTATTTACAATAAATTGCTGCTTCACTAATCAAGAATATGTGTTAGTTTATCAAAATGTTTTTGTTGGTTAATTCAATCAATATTGCAACCTTAAAAATTCCTTAAATGAGAAAAAAATAATGTAGTCCAGCATGGCCCTTCTGGCTATTGAAAGGTTACCCTTTTCTGGTAAAGAATTATTGAGTTTCAATGGGCCATTTAGGCCATTAAGTCCAGGGCCCTGCTTAGTGCATAAATCCAGATAAAAGTACCTAAGTGAATACTTGTCTAACCTACCCTGAACACATTCAGTGAAGGGGATCCTATTGCTTCACTAGGTGATTGTAGCCACACTTCTGTTCTTAGGAAGTTTTTACTAACATTCATTTAGAAATTGCCTTTCTGTGACTTGAATACATTAATTAATTAATGTGTCCTCTTCAAGTTTTTATTTTGTATTTATTAGACAAGTTTGTTTAAATTATAGATATAGAATATGAGTACTGGAATTTGGAGCAGTGTCTGATTCTGAATGTTTGGCACAGTATGAAGGAGCGATGAATGAACATAGGAATTTCTCAGCAATTACATTTTATTGGGGGGGGGTTGTTTTTTTGACACTCTCCTGGAAAATGTAACCTTTTCTCACAGAGGGAGAACAATATCTTCAGTCATGGAGTGTTCTGACCTTAGAGCCTCTGTAATTTTCAGGACCCTGCCAGTAGTAAAATTGCAAGGCAGGGAGATGTCTCCATTTTTTCCTGTTTTTTTAAAATGCGTTTTATTAGACATCAAAGTATATAAACAACAATTAAGAGACAAAAAGAAACGAACTTTTTTATCCCTTAAAAAAACCCACCTCCCATCTTATATCTTATTTTCTTCTTCAAAGTTAGCTTCTCTAACTCAGACAGGAATCTCTCAGTTATCCTGTGTCCTCGGAAGTTTGGCAGGATCTACAGGATTACAGTCTAAATTACATTTTTTTTTCCAGCACACAAATCTTTCTTCTTGTTTGATCAATATTTAGCAAGACTGTGCACAGAAGCATTCCCTTCAGAGCTGACCTATTTGGTCTGCATTGCTGCTAGGCATAAACCTACCTTTAAAAAAAGATACTTTTTTTTCTATTTGCAATAGTTGCTTATATATCCCCCTGGCTGTGTCCCCAAGCATTTGGGCCAGGAGGTAGTGGTGTGTTTTTTGTTGTTGTTGTTTTGAGGATGGTTTTAATCAGGATGGTCATAGATTATGTATTGTGTGTTTTAATCTTTGTACGCCATCCAGAATCACTGCTGTGAGATGGGTGGCTCTATAAGTTAAATAAATAAATAAATGTCTCTCGTCTGTAGGAAACATTAGCTCACTTCTCATTTTTGTGGACAATTTGCATGAATATGGGCAACAACCTAGAGTTGACCTTACCTATGTTCACTGCAAAATTTCAGAATGATCAGTACACATATTGAGAAGTTAAACATCAAAAACTATATATGAGGTTTAATTTGGTTGCTGGCTATTTACTGAGCTGGATATGGGGCATTGAGAACATACATGTATATACTAATGAGGATTATATCTAACCTATAACCTGTCTTCCTGTATTGGGCAGCAAGGAGAAAGTCCTGGTGGAGCGGTGGAAAGCATAGGGATATGATGCCTTGGTAGAACTCTGAGAGGAACAATGAGTGGCAGGAAGACATCCCATTACATTGGGATGGATGGATGGATGGATCAGTCAGTATGAGGCTGGTCTGAATCCCTGAGACAACTGACTTTGTCTTTAACCAGTTGGAACATACGTCACTTCTTACTTAAGATAGTTTGAAAAAATATGAAGAATGTCCATCCTGAATTCATTCTTTATCCTAGGAATTTACAGAGGTTAGTGTGTATGTATTTATTAAATGTACTGCTGCTGCAAAAGTGTTTTGTCAGCTTACAGTAAAACACAAAATCAGAATTAAAATGTGAGATACTAAAAACAAATCAGTTAAAAGCCTGTTTTAAAATATATGTTTTAGGGCTTTTTTTTTAAGAGGATTTTTGTTTTGTTTTGTTTTGGTTTTGGCTCCTCAGTCAACAAGGAAGTTTGAACCCTGCTATAGATAAATTTTCTCAGAGGTATTAGATGGGAACTTACAGAAAAGGTGTTCTCTCACTTAACCTATAGTCAAGCTATTTATGGTTTTAAAGGTAATAATCAGCACTTTGTATTTCACTTGGCAACAAATTGGCAAGCACTGCAATACTTCTAATTCTGTTATACTGTTGCCCCTTTGAGTTCTTCCAAAGAATAATCTAACTGCTGAGCTCTGTACTAGTTGAAGCTTCCAAACTAAATATGAAGGTAGACCCATGTAGAGAACATTATAATAGTCAAGTCTGGACAACTACTATGGGTTACCAACCATGCATCACAGTTTTAAGAATGATTTATTTTGTATATTGATAATAATCACTGGCCTCTGTTTAAAAAAAAAGCTGTAATAGATGGATTTGATACTTTGGTTTCTGTACTAAAATGCAGTGTATCCAATTCTGTATCCTACAATTTAGGAATGTGTTGCATTAAAATAGCATTTATTTGACCTAATTTGGATATGGCAATTAACCAGATTGGTTGATAATTCTAATTTATAATTAGACTGTATATTGCCCAGTTATACTTCTTGGCTGTTCTTTTCAGTAGGAGCAGCTAGGCAAACTAGGGAACCTCCATCTATGATTTGGTGAGCAGCCGAATCAGAATCTTAAATTACTATTTAAATTGCTTGGGTTTGCCATGAAATATGAACAAATCCACTAACTTGTTTCGTAGATTTAAGTAGTAGTTAATTTTGCTTTCATCTTTATATGCTTAACTAAATGAACTCTTAAATAAACTGCTAGGAAATAAATCTGGATGTTTGGAGGATAAAAATAATAATATGCAAGTTGGTTTCAGTGTTAAAAATGGGATATTGTGAACTTGTGGAATTGTTATGTAACTTCTGCTCCAAAAGTGTTCCTAAGCAAATTTTCCTGATAATTTCTCTCTTTCCACTATAGCTCTCTGCATTATCTTCCATGTTAATATTGGGGAAGGGTATCCTGATTTTCAGAAGCTATTTTATATACATAGCAGTGCTAGAAAAGAAGAAGAAAAGCTCCATTGTAAGAAACTCAATTTGTTTCTTCCTGGAATCAGCCAGAGTTTTTGAAAAAATAAGCCCTGTAAAAGTAACTTATTAAAATTCAGGATTCTGGATTTATCTCTATCTTTACTAGTTACTGGCTATTACAGTTCAGCACATATGAATACTGTACATACGCGCACACATAGACTAAACTAGATTGCAGGTATCTGATATCTGAGTGAGCCCTGGCATAGAAAGGGCAGCATATAAAAATGAAAAAAGTTGTTGGGAGTCAGGTTGCATACAACTTTTAATAATAATGAAATATTGTTAATTATATACCAATATTACTGGAGTTCTTCTTTAATAATGCTTTTAAAAGAACCTATATAAAGTGGGACAAAATTCCTTTTGGCATTAATTTAGGCAGCATATATTAGCCATGCAACAAGCTAGTTTTAGATAAGAAATTTCTATATCTTACTTTTCCTTCCCTATCCCTTCTTCCAAAGTAGAATAAGTAGGAGTATATCTACAGTAACATATTTTGTTATTGCTCATTAGCTAACAAGTTATTAAAATTTGGATTGGCCATATGGCACCTGTTTTAACTTATGGAAAAAAATTATCTGTGATCAAAAAAGCTAATTCCTAGGTTTACTGTAAGTAATGTGCCTATATATTTTAATTTCAGTAGATTGCATAGTGACCATGCATACCTTAGCAAACTAGTGCTGGTTCATTAGAAGTGGGAATACTTTTGCAGGCTTGATTGTAACTGACAAAAGGAACAGTAATGAAAAATGGAGAATTCTTAGAAAAGGAATTCTTTATTTTTCATAGTAATTTTATACTTTTTGGGAAATCCTCTACCAGACATGTGAAGGATTTAAAACTACTTTTTACCATATTTTCTTTTGGACACTTACCTCTCTAGCCTTCACCCTGTATAGTTTTCAGGCTTCTTTACTGGTTATCCATCTTTTTCTACCTTGGGGTATTTCATTTTATTTACTCTATCTTACCTTCTAGGATCAGTAATGATGGGCAATGCAGCTTTCCTAGACACTAACCTAAAGTTAGGAAAGGGGGGAGAAATTAATGTTTTTAAAATTAAATCATGATACTTATATTTCCAACAAAAATCAGCAGCACTTCTGCTTTTCAAAGAAAGCTTACTGGGGGTCTCAAGTAATTACACAATATAGAATCATATATTGGCCATTATCACTATTAATGTGAGTTTTGTTGATTACTGGTCTTACATGGATTTTTAAAATCAAATCTGGAAGAAAAAATATTTTAAAATGTCAACAAATGGTGAATATTGTGGTTTAAGTAGCAAATCTTAACGTTGAGAATTATATGAGGAATATCAAATTATGCTGTCGAGAATTTGCTTTTTGCTATAGTACATGTATTAATGATGGAATGATGATAGTGTAAAGAATGTTTGTTGACTTTGATAGTTTTATTTGTTTACATAATGTTACAAAACCAGGAGGGAATCAAAATGTTCATCTTTGTCCATGATATCCACACAATTTATTCTATGGAGCATTGCAAATTAAAAAAAAAATGTGTTACCTTGAGAGAAACAAGAGGCGAAATACTGAATTTTTTCTGTAGCTTCCCTACAGCAAAATAGGTATCTGGCAAAACTTTTTCCCTCAGCCAAAGCATCATACAGTGTGATCTCAGTGTGACCTATGATGATCTTCATATAATGGATATAACATGTAAACCACTACCAGATTTCAGAAATTGGGTGACTGAGATATATGTTTTGCAGCTGAAATACTTTAAAAAGAGAAATTCATCACTTTTCAGAATGATTGACTGGTTGTCCTGGCCATTAGCTCAGCATGTGGAGACCTGGGTGATAGCACTGCTAAAAGGACTGGCTGCAGTTCAGAAGTTTACTATCCTTATTGATGTTACTTTGCTTAAGATTGAATTGGTAAGTATTATTACTCAGTGATTATTAGACTTTTAGTTAATGTTGTAATACTATTGCTTTTTTATAGAAATTCTTCATCAAATTTGATTTGTGTGTTTGTAAATATATGGTACAGAATTATAACACTGCTGTAAATTTCTAAATTTTAGTAACAATTCTTCCTTTTCTTGCAAGGTATTTAATCGCCTTTGGTTTCCTCTTGTGAGACCTGGTGCTTTGGCTGTTCTTTCTCATATGTTGCTCAGTTTTCAGCATTCTCCAGAGGCTTTTCACTTGGTGAGTTTTATCATATGAGCTTTAAAACTATCACTTAAAAAGAAAATACCTATAAGCATGCCATCTCACTATTTTATTGATAAAACCAAAACCATAGTCATGTTTACAACTTGGTAAAAATTGAAACATAAATTTTGGTTATGTTATAACTGACTCTTAACTTTTATCTTCCTCTACCTTGATGGCTTATATCAGAAACCATGATATAAAACAAATCTAAGTAACAGGAATTTTAAGAATTTTCTATGTGTTTATATAAAGATGTAAAATGTGTGTAGTGAGGAGAGTGATACTGTACAGAACTTGGTATTGATGTCTACTTAGCACTTTCCTTCTAACAGCGTTGCATCTTATAATGGGTTGTTTCAAATTATGTTATTCCAGTTGTCCAGTTCCTTTGACAAATTCATTCTATTTGTTATATTGCTACAGAAGCCTGTTATAAAGAACAGCATAGGTTAAAATTTAGCTGTCAATGCAAATGAAAAATGTAACTAAAAATTTTTAGAAACTAAATATCAGAGATGCACCCTGCTAATTCTAAAATTATGGAATAGTCTATTCTTTTTAGCACTTTCTTAAGTTTTTTTCCTTATTTGCTAGCAGAGGTGATATACATCACACTAGATGGAGCTGTAAAACTAATTTCAGGAAGAGCTCATAGAACATAGAATGGTTTGTACATTTGCAGACTTACCATAAATTTTAAAAAGCTAGTAAATGTTTCAACCACAACATGTAGGGCAATAGTGTACTAGTAGTGGCTATCCAGATTTCTACCCTAGTAGAATGTGAAATTACGTTTCTTAACTTGAAGTGCCTAATTTAAAGACTAAAGAATAAAACTGATAATGTGTTCAGGAAATTGGAATATCATAATTCATTATTTTTCTGTTATTTATAATGCTATGGTTTTCTTTAAAATGTATTATATGTTATAATTTAAAAAGTTCAAAAAGCAATCCAATCATTAATCTATTTATCTTAAAATTAGATTGTTCCACATGTGGTTAAGTTGGTAATATCAGTCAAAAGTAATGGCCTGCCCACCAGCACAGCATTCTTGAGACAGCTCAGTGAGTTAATACACTGTATGATGTATCATTACTCTGGATTCCCAGAACTTTATGAACCCATTCTAGAAGCAATAAAGGTATGGAAATATAAATATTTCAGTGCTGTAGGGCTCAAACATCATTTCTTATTTTTCTGCATGAAAACTCTGTCAGCTATTTTTTCATTTCAGAAAAAAGTAATGAAAAACACTGAAATCAGTAAGCAGAGTAGAATATAACAGTGTCATTAATCTTTATCTTTTAAATAAGATCTTGAGTTGTTTTATCCATAAAAGAAAATGGTAATGCATATTTTTACTTTTACATGGGAAGATCTTCGTAGACCTATTTCTTGCCAGTTAATTAGTAAAAAGAAAAAGTTATGCTGGCTAATTCTTTGATACCAGACACTACTGTTTAAATTAGCCGAAAGATTGCCAGATCAGGGGGAAAAAATCCTTTCACGTATCATTTTTTGTTAGCAAGGGGACTGTACAGTGTTTGAGAAGAATGATATGTGTTTAGATTTATGTAATAGTCTTCCACAAGATGTCAGACAACTTCTGTAAAAAGGGATTGGTGAGCACTTAATTTAGGTTTGATCCTTGATTTGCACTGCAAGAAAGAATATTATGGCAAAGATGAATATTATGGTGAAGCAAGTTGTTATACGTTACTATCAGAGAGGCATTTTTCTCAGCAGAGCAATTGCTAACATTTGGAAGTAATGGGACACAAGCTGCTAGGCTGCTGGTTTTGTAGATGCAAGTATAATAAAAACACATGCATAATACTATTTTTTAGCTGTTCAGTGTTCAACCTGCCTCTCTGTTTTCATTATAGGAGCTTCCCAAACCCAGTGAAGAGAAAATTAAGATGATATTGAATCAGAGTGCCTGGACATCTCAGTCCAGTTCCTTGCAATCTTGTCTGTCTAGATTTTCTGGAAAATCTGAAACTGGAAAGACTGGTCTGATTAATTTAGGAAATACTTGTTACATGAACAGTGTGATTCAGGCATTATTCATGGCTACAGAGTAAGTTTAAACTTATTTGTTTTAAGGATTGCAACTTTTTATATATGCACTATGTTTCCTTTTTTAAAAATACGTGGCATTTTTAAAATTAAGGATTTGAACGCTCCCCCCCAGTGGGATTTTGAAGGGCCCTGAAGATGTAGCTGTTCCCCTGTCTTTGGTGAGGACAATTGACACCTCTTTTCTTCCTTTCCCTTGTTTCCATCTGGGTTTGTTTTCTTTGTCATCTTTGTTTCTTTGTTTTATGTTTCTTGTATTGTTACTTGCTTTTAAATGTTTTTAACTTATAAACTGCTCAGAGTCATTGGGAGTTGAGTGGCATATAAATTTAAATTATTATTACTGCTACTACTATTATGGCTTGAATATGGATAGTAAAAATCTGAGTAAGTAGTCAGAATGTGTTTCCTTGCCTCAGTTCACATCTTGAATCACAAGGTATATATATTGGAGTTCAAATTCTACATGCAAGGTATACTGACTTCGTAGTGGTATATATTTTCCCATTTATATAGATTTTCAGTGTGAGTTACTGAATTGCCAAATATATTTCTATATATCCTTCTGTTTGTAATTGGAGACATTTACTTTAAGGCTGTATTTTTTGTAAATTTCAAACCAAAACTAAGTCATTTCCCAAAGTTATTAATTTAAATTGTTCTTCAAAAGTATGGCTTGTGATTAAGACTTAGTTTAAGCAGTCTTATATTACTAATATAATTTGGAGCATAGTTAAATTATTTTAAATTAGATCAGTAAATTCTTGAAACATTAGAATATGTTTGTGTGTATAAGTATGTATCTGAAAACATGATCTCATTTTTCTTATTTTTGCAGTTTCAGGAGACATGTGTTATCATTAAATCTAAATGGGTGCAATTCACTAATGAGAAAATTGCAACATCTTTTTGCATTTCTTGCTCATACGCAGGTCTGTATAACTCTTATTTTCTGAATATTAAAGCTATAATATTTGGAGCTGCCACTCAATATTGCATAAAAACATTTTTTGCCTTATTTTGTGTACAATTAATTCACTGTAGCATATGTTAACCTTTCATCAATCAATAGAAAATGCAAACAATTGTTTCATTTCTAAAATTTTGAAAGAAGAATTGGATACTTGGAAAAAATGCAGAACAGTTGAAATTGGGCACTATACTGATATACTTAGAAAACGGTAATTTTAAGTTAGATATAATCAAATGTTTGATTCAAACATTCCCCCACAACTTAAAGCAGTACATTAAGAGGTTAGGGTTAATGTCCAAAATTATTTTGGAAGAGAATATTAAACAACTCTTGTTGTACCTGAATACATAAAATTCTACATGGTGTCTTTAACTATAACTAAGCTATTATTTTTCCTGTATTTCAAATATACTTTTAATTCTAAATTAATGTTTTTGGATAAAATTAAACTTGAACATGAAATTGTGAAGTAGATACTTACATATTAGGATTTATTCTGCAATCAGTACAGTTCATTAATCCTTTAGCTTTTCCACTACTGTACTTGCATCCTAGTTACTTGACTCCTTTTTTCACAAATTGTGAAATGCTTTACAGAATAACGTCAGTGTTTGAAATTTACTTTGTCTTATTTGCTTTTTGGATCTAGAGGGATGCATATGCTCCTCGCCTTTTCTTTGAGGCATCTAGGCCTCCCTGGTTCACTTCTAGATCTCAGCAAGACTGCTCTGAATATCTTAGGTTCCTGCTAGACAGGTAATGGTACCCTGGAATTCATCAACCAAGATATTTGTTTTTTAAATATGTTTTATATGCAAAATGTGTTGTAGGCAATGTATTTTTATAACATTGTTAGTTAAGAAGTATTCATCATAGACGTGTTTCACAAAGAGTTACAAAACTGAAGCAGTCTTCCCAATTTTAAGGTACAAAAAATATGGTATCTTTATAAAGACGACTATTTAAAAATAAAATCATAGAATTTTATATAATCTGAAATACAGGAAGTCCCCAAGTTTAAGAACGAGTTCTGTACCCAAGGTCTGTCCTTAGGTCGAATTTGTATGTAAGCCAAACAGTATTATTGTATAATACTGTATGAGTAGTATTGTGTAATTAACTCAAACCATTGTGTATTTAACTCAAATCATTGTGTATTTAACTTGAATTTTGCTAGAATAGTCTCTGTTCTTAACTATGGGTCGTCCTTAAACTAGGCATTTTTAACCCAGGGACTACCTGTACGTGCTGAAATACAAGTTTTGCTTTTGATATGTGACATATCAATCACAATCTTTTTCAATACAGTGTAGGTTTTCAGTTACTGTTTCTTAAAAACCACTTGAATCTCCACAGTGCAAAGTTTCTCTGTCTATAAAATTCACATGATGGGCCAAATAACTCAAACTTTATCCCACTGCTAGGCCTGAACTAAAGTAAAGTACCTGTTGGAATTAAAGTAATGGAGCAAGTATTAAGGTATAGTGGGGGGGGGGGCATTCAAAGCCTTTCATTCTACTCTAATCTTGTCCTAGTAAATAACTGGTTGTGTGTATAAGCATACTGGAACATAGTAATGTATCGACTAGCAGGTAAACTGGTGGAGAACAATATAATTTGAATAGAATTATTTTCTTTCTAAGGCTACATGAAGAAGAAAGAACCTTGAAAGTTCTGTCTTCATCAAAGCTTCCTGAGGATATGAATGAAGAGTCCCTGGTCCAAGATGTGTCCAACAAATCTCAACTGTTTATCAAACAGTCTTGTACAATGAAAGAGGAGAGAACCTTGATAGAAAAAATGTTTCGAGGGAAACTGCAAACAAGCATATGCTGTTTAAATTGCAAAAGTACTTCTCATAAAGAAGAAGCCTTCACAGATCTTTCACTTGCTTTTTGTCCTCCAGTATTCTTTAAAAATGTTAGTCCACCAACTGTAGAACATTCATCTGATGAGAAAGATGACTCCATGGAACAAGTCAGTGCTAGGGCATTGAGCCCTGCGATAGAGATGGCATCTGGTGCGCTAACAGTTGGTGATTCCTGTGAAATGGTCACAAATGATGGTACTTTGAAAGATCCCCCCATTGACTCAAATTCTGAAAATGCTACTGATCCTTTTATCTGTAAGGCTGAAGTTGGGGATAACTTGCAGAAACACGCCAGTGAAGTTACTCCTTCAGTTACTGATTTGTTAAATTATTTTTTGGCACCTGAAGTTCTTAAAGGGGATAACAAATACTTTTGTGAAAAATGCGCCTCCTTACAAAATGCAGAAAAAATTATGCAAATTGTAGAGGAGCCAGAATACCTCATTCTTACTCTTTTGAGATTTTCATATGATCCCAAGTGTCATATTAGGCGCAAAATCCTAGACAATGTATCTCTTCCACTTGTTCTAGAATTACCTGTCAATAGACCTCTCTCTTCCTTAAGTACATTGTCAGGCATTTGGTCTATGAGTGTTCAATTTTCTGACACAGGGGAGAATCTAGCTAAAAAACTCAAGCCTTCTGGTGCTGAAGAAGCAGGTTGCCCTCAACTAATCCCTTATGTATTAAGTTCTGTAGTTGTTCACTCTGGCATATCTTCTGAAAGTGGGCATTATTATTCTTACGCAAGAAATGTTGCTAATTCAGGGTCTTCACTAGGATCTTTTGATCAGTCTCAAAGCCTGGCTTTAGCTTATCCTCAAAGCAATTTAATGGCTGGAGAAATTCCCACTGCAGCTACTGAAAAGGACCTGGATGAAAATGAAGTGTCAAAGGAATGGTTTCTATTTAACGACAGCAGAGTGACATTTACCTCATTTCAGTCAGTCCAGAAAATTACAAGCAGATTCCCCAAAGATACTGCTTATGTGCTGTTTTACAAAAAACAGAATAGTGCTGGTGCTATTAGTACTAAATCAGCCAGTGGGCTTTGGATCAATGGAGATCCTCCTCTACAGAAAGAACTTATGGATGCTATTACAAAAGACAATAAGCTGTATTTGCAGGTAAGGTACAGATATTAATTTGAAGGAAATCAGTTGTGTAATTGCTGTAAATGTGGAGTGTATGATATAAGGTTGGGAATACTAATCTAAGTAAATTATTCTGTATTAACCAGCATTATTGAAATAATTAATGTGGATTGCTAAAATTTAATATTGCCATATTTCAGGGAAAGGAATAAAAACATCTTTGAAGCATAGTTCTTATATAATATAAACATGGACTGGCAATCTTGAGATCTTATGTTGATTCTGTATAGGTGGGGAGTAGTTGAAATATTTAATGTGAATTATGTTCATAACAATGAGTTAACCTCACAGTTTCCAAACAAAATGAGTTGGTTTAATGTTTACTTTAAAAAACCTTAAATATCTTCTGAACTTAAATAATCTGTAGTTCTTCTGGATATTTGATCCAAAATATATGGAATCACAGCCATAATGTTGTTAAGATTATTTTTATTCAAATATTTTATGATCTGCATTTGTTGAATACATAAATGTTATAACTATAGAATTAACATGAAAAGAAGTCATTTAAAAACTCAGGGTATTGTAAAGCATAGTTTAGAATTCAGTTTGACAAAAAGCTCTCCTGAGAGTTTAGGCTGATTTGAGAGGAGTTTGAGAGTTTAGGCTGATTTGAGAGGAATTTGCTAAAGTGTTCGTATTTTTCAATATGCTGAATCTAAATTTCTTTCTACCTAAGCACTTCAGTTCTACTAGTACACTTCAGTTCTCTTTTTAAAATCAAAAGCAGTAGCAAAGTGAGGAATATTGGTTTCTTGTCAGCTCTTGTACTTCCATTATTTAATTAATATTTAACCTTGAAGTTGTCAGGTTAATGCATATTTATATAGCCACCCATATCACATATATGACTCTAGGTGGCTCATACATTAGCTTTGAATAATTCTAACCAGAACCAATTGGAAGTGGAATCCAGTTGAAATTTATTTGGGCAAAATTACAAAATCTTCCCCTTCATGGATCACTGCCTTGTCGTGGCGAAGGGGCTTGCGTAACTCAGTGAAGCCATGAGCTATACCGTGCAGG